CAAGTATTTATTAAATATTCTTCACCAGAGATACAAAAGTATATAAAAACTAAAAGCTTATGCTTATGGGAATATTTAAATTTCACAGATATAAAAATTTACATATGAAAAACAGGAGAAAAATAATTAGTATGAGTCAAAATTTTGTTACTTCTTACATTTTATTAAGCCAAATATGGCAGAAAAATTTTGATGGAATAAAAATGTCTTCTAAAAATTAATCTAAAACTTAAATGGACAATTCAAAAATTAGAAAATTAAAAGGAATGGTCAAAATAATTAGAGAAATGATTTAGAGTGAATACTTTGTAAATAAAAAATAAAATATGAAATTAGGAAATTGAAATCATTCATAATAAATATTACAGGATTAAATGTGCTTACTTAAAAATAACGATTTTTAGGCTACATCAAAAAATGAAAATACATTAAAATATAGATAAGAATAAAAGGATAGAAAAACCAATCAGAATATTAAACAAAAGTAAGTTATCAGTATTCAAAATGGACACTGAGAAAATGCTTCATAAGGGCTTTACAAACAGGATATTAGAGACAAAAAGGTAGAAATATCATTTATAAATATTAATTTATAAAGGCTAGAAACAAAAATTGCACAACAGAATTACAAAATTTGGAATCATGACATTTTCATTCTTTTCATGCCAAAGGATAGCTAAAATATATCAGATACAAAATGGACTAGAGAACTATAATTAATATAAGTTGTATTGTATTTGAATGCTTTTTAAGAATCTATTCTTGTCAAGCACAGAAGAAATGTTATCAAAATCAACTACAAACTAAGCCATAAAAGAGTGTTTAGTATTAGAAACTGATACATAGAAAATATTCCCTGAATAAAAACTAATATAAAAATCAACTTGTGGGGAAAAAACCAAATGAATAGTTTTGTTTGAACTGAAACTAAATTGTTATCAGCTTAAGTTAGATTATTATGCTTTATGCAACCCAAAGAAAAGACCAATAGTATATACAAAAAGATAGGGAATATAAGTATATCACTACAAAAACCATCACACTGAAAAGGAATAAAATAACTACAAAACAGAAAACAATTAAAATGTCAATAGCAATTCCTTTCCTATTGATAATTATGTTAACTTTAAGTGGATAAAATTCACCCAAAAGATAGCATGGCTGAATGACTTTGGAAAAGATTCATCTATATGCTTTCAATAAGAGACTCATGTTAGATTTAATGACACACACAGGTGGAAAGAGAAGGCATGGAAAATGATATTCCATACAAATGGTAATAAAAAAGGGAGAAGAATGACTTCTTAGATGCTAAAATCCACAGATGGTCAAGTCTTTCCTGTAAAATGCTATAATTTTTATATATAATCTATACATAGCCTATTTCGTACTTTAAATCATCTCTAGATTACTAATAGTACCTATACAATGTAAACATTATGAAACTCCTGTTCATACTATGTTGTTTACAAAATATGCAAGCAGTCTAGTCATGCTCATTTCGAACACAATTCATTTCAAGTATTTTCATCAATTTGTCCTGGGATGAATCTATGGATAACAGAAAGCCTAATAGGCACTCAAAATTATAATACATATTGTATTGTCCCCAATATGATTTAAAAGAATTAGGCAGAATGTTTCACTCTGCAGCAACAAGTAGGCATTGTTTTCCAATGCACACTAACACTCTTCAGAATGGATAATATGCTAGGTAACAAAATATAAGTTTGTTTTTTTTTTTACAAATTTAATGAATGTAATCACTCATAATATCTTTGTTACTTCAAAAGAATTAAACTAAATATAAATAACGATTTTGTCCCCCTCCCCATTATTCTTATCAAACTAATCCCTGAATTCATAAGCTGACACTGGAAGTTGTAACCTAGAGAGAAAATGGGGATTACATAACATCATCAGCATAGAGCCCAAGATGGAACTGGTTGCTTGACCAGCTAATACATATAGAGATTAGGTGTGGTAGTACCCACTGTAATCTCAGCTACTCAAAGCAAAGGTAGGAAGATAGCAGTCTGGGGCTAATCATGACTAAGGTGAAAGACTATCTGAAAAACAAATTAAAAGCAAAAGGACTGTGGCATGTCTCAAGTGATACAATGCTTGCTTCACAATAAAAAGGCCTTCCTTCAGTTCATTTTCTAGTACTGCCAAAAACAGAAGAAATATAGTTTGAACTGCTACATGTTTTTTTCTGTCTTTCCATGTGATTTCCTCTGACATTCTCTAAGACGCCAGTGTTATGCCCTCAGATTCCAGAGACTTGAGTTACAAAAACAAAATAAACAAACCTTCTCTTTACATAGTAAGATGTCTTGAGTATTTTTCTTACAATAATACAAAAATAGACTGATTCAATACTATTATGAAACAAATTAATAGTAATAATATCTACATTAAATAAGCATTCATTGTGATCAAAGCTTAACTTTAAAACACAGAGAAGCAGAAAAAGAACTAAGGTCAAAGTTATAGATGGGTGAATATAATATAGATTAGGGTAAGAAATAGAAGAAATAGAAAATAGGAAAAAATAACAAAACTGAGTCCTTTGAGAAATAAATAAAATTGCCAAACCACTTCTAGACTAAGTAAATGAAAAAGGGGATAACAACTGATGATGCAGAAATTAAAAGGATCATAATAGATTATTATTAACCATTATACAACAACTAGCTGGTGACCTAGAGGAATTGGTATATTTCTAGAAAAATATAGCCTACCTAGAATAAGAATAAGTAGAATACCTAGAGAAGCACCAAATAAGGAAACTGGATCAATAATCATAAAACTCCCTACCAAAATTTTCCCCATACCAGATGCCTTTACAGATGAATTTTACCAACATTTTTGAAAGTACAAATAGTACTAATACTTTCAAACCTTTGAAAAACCAAATTAAAGATGAAGCACTGTCAATTTCATTTCATGATTCCAAAACCAGGTAAAGGTACCAGAATAAAAGAAATCAACTGGCCAATATTTCTGATGAAAATTATTACCAAGATCCTCACCAAAATAGCAAACAATGAAAAGTCACATTGAAAAGGTAAATCATAGGGAACCAATAGTATTCACCCCTGGAACTAAGAATACTTCAACATATACACACAGTTGATATGATAGAATAAATAGAGTAAGAAATAAAAGGCACATACTCATCTCAAGAGATGTAGAAATATTTGACAAAATTCAAGACACTTATATGATTAGAAGCACTGAACAAAAGAGTTTCAGAGGGAACATATCTCAGTCCAAAAAAGCATAAACATGACAAACCAACAGTTAATACTGTACTCAATGTTGAAAACACTGAAAGGTTTTCCTGTGTCATCATGAACAAGGCAAGCATGACCACTCTCACCACTTCCATGAAGTGGATATACATATAGCAAGTAGACAAGAATAATAAAAGCTATTTAAATCAGGAGGCAAAAAATTTGTACAAATAACCTGAAATATTATGTAGATACTCCTGAAAACTTCATTAAAAGAACTATTAAATTTAAAGTGGCAGGGATACACATCAACTCACAAAAAAATTCCCAATTGCATTAGTTTACATTGACAATAAATTTTCTCAAAAATAAACTAAAAAAAATCCCATTTACAACATCATCAAACAGAATAAAGTAGAGCTAAATTTAATCTAACAGGGAAAGAACTTGTACACGAATAGCTATAAAATAATCATGAAAGAAATTACAGTAGATGTAAACAATGAGAAAGATATTTTCAGAGTACTTAAAATGAAAGTAGGTAGGGATGAAAAGGAGCACAAACAGAGAAAGGGATTAGTTGTAGAAGGAAATTTGCCTTTTTGCTTCTTACTAACTTGCTAATTGGCTTTATTTTCATCAAAGAATATATTTGGTGGAAACTGGTGCTCTAAAACATGAAGATCTTTGTAATCTACTATTAACCTCTTACAAATATTCAGTGTATCTTAAAAAAGGAAAATAGCACCTAGAGTTCAGTGTAAAACAGATAAACTTCCTGATAGTTTTCTGTGCTGACAGATACAGTGTTTTCCTATGAATCCTTCTGCAAGAATACATGAGAATACCAATCCCATTCTCGGATTTTTTTTGTCTGGTCTTTCCTAAGCAGTCACTTACAAACGCAAGTCCTTTCTAAGCTCAGTTCTACAGAGAAAATGACATTTGCTTTATTTGTCATATTTTATTGGGAAATGTGATGTAATGACACTACTGTCATTAAACTAGTAACAAAATCAAAAGTTATTAACATGGATAAAAGCAATGCTTTAATACATGACATTTTACAATGTTGTCTAGAGAACCTAGCCTCAAGAATTACAAATTTTTGGGCTGGGAAGGTTGCTCAATGGTAGAGCGCGTGCCTTGCATGCCTGAGGCCCTGGGTTTGATCCTCAGCACCACATAAGCAAAAAGAAAAAAAGCTGGAAGTGGCACTGTGGCTCAAGTGGTAGAGCGCTAGCCTTGAGCTGAAAAGCTGAGGGACAGCGCCCAGGCCCAGAGTTCAGGCCCCACGACTGGACCAAAAAAGAAAAAAAAAAAAAAAAGAATTACAAATTTTACTTTGGTTTTCCTGGATTAATAAAATTATAAAAATTGAAAGATTATTGCAACAATGAGATGTAAAAGTCGTTATGTCAAAAAACGAACTTTACAACTTTGTGGGGGAGGAGGAAGATGGGAAGGGATAGGAAGGGGAAATAAAGGAGGAGGCAACAATGCTTGATAAGAAATGTACTCATTATCTTGCCCATGTAATTGTAACCCCTCTGTACGGTATTTTCACAATAAAATTTAAAAAATTGAAAGCTTATATGTACATGAAGTGCATGAACTGGTAGACATTTATTGGTAAGGAAACTATAGTCCTTCATTTCTGTATTTCATGTGAATTAGAAAAAATTATTTTATTGTCATACATAATTGCTTTTGCCTTTATCTTCATTCACAGGAGTCTATCAAAGGGAATTCATTGCTTACCAATTTGCTTTCTGTACTGATCAACAGGAAGTTTCATCGTGGAAGCATCTTTCCGACCCATCTTTGATCTCTGAAATGTCTGCTGAAAAGAAAGAAAATTATAATGAAGCCTGGTTAAAAAAAAAAAAAGACTATCTGCAAACTTCAGGAATCACTTATTCTTTAAAATTCTTTTTTAAAACAATGGGTAAAAATGCCTTGACTTACTCTGAATAGATATCCATAAAGAAAACAGAAACTTTTCAAATACATTATCAAGGTTACAGTTAATGGCAATTAATTACTATCAATGTTCTTGGTAATGTTATCAAGAACAAATGATTGAAGAACTTAATTTATCAATGTTCAATTAAACCATACTATTAGAGAAAACATCTGTAGAAGTGAAAAGCACATACAATTTATTCAGACAGTTGGGGTTTAGACATATTCTGCCATGTTTCTTTCCAATTACTACTATATTGCACAAAAAAGGAAGTTTGATTATCAGGTAATTTGAGGTTTTTGTTTTGTTTGTTTCCCAAGTCCTGGGGCTTGAATTCTGGGCCTAGGCACTGTCCTTGAACTTCTTTTCACTCAAGGCTAGCACTCAACCACTTGAGCCACACCACCACTTCCCATTTATTTGTTTATTTATGTGGTACTGAGGAACCGAACCTAGGGCTTCATGCATGTGAGGCAAGCACTCTATACCAGTAAGCCCAGTTTTGTTTTTATAAACATTATAGGTGTAGGCAAGTGAGTATATTTGGGTTTTAGTTCTCTCCCTCTTAATATAAACCATAAAATATACTGTTTATTAATATTATCATATTAACTGATCTCTTGAATATTCAGAAAAACTTCAAATTCAATTAGTTTGAACTTAAATATTTCAGCACAGGCTATAATCTGTTCATGAAATCTACATTCTCATTTTCTTACACAGACTATATTTCATAACTCTAGTTCATATATATAATTGAGTTCCTGTCAAAGGGATCTGAATGGAAGTGAGATGAATCATTTTCAAACCTAAGCATAAAAGTTCCCAAGCAAAGGCCTACTGGGAAAATGGCAAGCTACAGATACCTAGCAATTTCCTATGTCTCCATAAACTAAAATAACACAGGAGTATATGGCTGCCAGAAGAGGTGGGTGTCATGGGAAAGGCAAAGGAGGATAATGGCAAAGCATGGACAGTTAGAGATCAGGTGAAATCCAGAAGTATTGGTAGTGCCAGCCATTAATGAAGTGAGAAATTTTGCAGGTGTTTTCAAGTCCATTATTTGATGTTCACATCTACATGGATGAGTTCTATCACATGGCTAGAACTCTGGAAAATATGGACACGGGGTCTAGAAAATAATGTCACAAGGAATGAAATATTAAGAAGTCACCCATATAGTTGTGTGAACGTAATGGCCAGAGTAGCAAAGCAGGAAGAGCAATGTCATAAAAGGCACAGTTCAGATAAGTAATGAGTTATGTGAAGGGCTGCACAAGTGTTTATTTTTTGTTTGCTGTGTTGGGCCTAGGGCTTGAACTCAGGTCCCGGGTGCTATTGCTATGCTGTTTTCCTCAAGGTTAGAGCTCTGCCACTTGAAGCATAGCTCTATTTCTGGCCTTTTTTTTTGGTGGTTAACTTGAGATAAGAGTCTTACAAACTTTCCTGTGTGGGCTGGCTTTGAGCCACAATCCTCAGCATTCAGCCTCCTGAGAGTGTGAGCTACTGGTACCTGGTGAGAATTCAGTTTTAATGAAAACTACAGGATGTCCACCAGATTTTGCATTTTGGAAACACAAGTGATATCCTTGGAATAGTTGCTATAGAGAAATTTAATCAGAGTAACTTATAAGGAACTAGATGTAAAGAGTGTGTATGTGAGAAGATAGAGAAAATGAACTGGTCCTGAGACAACAGTATATTAAAGACAAGGTATCAGTTTCTTGTGCCTGCATGAATCAAAACATCAGGAAAGTGAATGTGGGAAAAGCCAAGGAAGGCAACTATAAACAAATTCACACACACACACACACACACACAAAAGCAGGACTGAAAACAAAATGGAAAAGAAAAGTCTTGGGAAGCCCCAAAGGCTCTACAGAAGCTAGCACTCTGCAAAACTACAATTTAAGATAGGAGATTTGCATCTCATACATATAGTAGTCCCATTGAAAGAATCTATTGCATTTCCTAGCATGCTTACTAGGATCATGTATGGAACTCATCTTAGGAGAGGTCTTACAATCAAGCATATCATTCAGAGTCAGCATAAGACCCTGCATACTTATATCTTCAAATCCAAAGGTTTCCCTCTACTGTAAGTGAGCAGTGACCTTAGAATCAATGTAGAAATCAAAACCTCAATTAAGAAGACTATTAATAAATCAAATAAAGGGCTGGGATGTAGTTAAGTGCCAGAGCACTTCCAATGAAGGAAAGAAGGAAGGAAAGAGGAAGGAAGGAAGAAAGGAGAGAAAAGACAAAAAAACAGTTTAAAAAACAGTAGAAAGCATCAAAAATAGACTGGGTCCATCAGAAGAAAACATACCACTATTAAAAGCAAGTTAAAGAAAATATTACATTAAGCAATAAGGAAAAATGGCAAGATTAATCACTTTCGTGGACTGTGGGACACAACAAAAATAAGTCTAAGGCCCTAGCAACCTCTCTAGTAAAGGCATAGAAAATCTACTCAATGAAATTATGGCAGAAAATTTATGAATTTGGTGTGAAGATATGAATATTGAAATACAGGACATGTTCAGAACCCCAAATAATTAATATACTCCATGTTACATTAGAGTTAAAAGTCCAAGACTACAGAGCACAGAAAGAATATGGAGGGCTACAAGCAAAACATATTTGCTTACAAAGGCAAGATCATCAGAATTACACCAAACCACTCAGAAAAATTCACCATAGCCAGAACAGCATGAAATGTTTTGTCAAACCCTAAGTGTAAATACTTTACAATATAATTACTATATCCAGCAAAGTTAGCCTTTAAAATCAATGGGAAAATAAAGACCTTCAAAAACAAAGAAATTCATGACCCCTACATCAATACCACAGAAGATTCTTAAACAATACCACATAGAGGAAAAGAAAATAGTTACAAACAAAAGACAGAATAAATTATATGAGAATTATATGAGTACCTGAGATTTAGAAAACCATCAACTAATTCAATTCCTAAGATAAACCAAGGAGAAAGAAAAAAGCAAAGAGCACTAAAATCAAGCAAGAAACTAAACAAAATTATAGGTATCAGAAAATATCAGTAATAATCAAATTTAAAAAGTCATTTCTAATTGACCATTGCCTCATTGAAGAAATCAGAAGGTAAATTTAAAATGTTCTATGTTCGAATTAAATGTATACATAGCTCACCTGAACTCCTGAACTTTAGATATAATAAAGGCAGTAAGTTCTAAGAGGAAAGTTAATAGCTATGAGTGCATATATTATAAAAAAAATTACAGAAACTTAAGTAAGCAACCTAGTTAAAAAAAAAAGATCAAGTCAATACAGCATTGAAAATATAATGTAATGATAAAAATCATGACAAAGAGTGGTGGCTAAACAAAGAATTATTTAGTTGGAAAGATAAAACACAATTATCAAACTCAGGGCCTGGCTGCTGTCTCTGAGCCTGTTTGTATTAAAGGTACTTTACCACATGAGCCCCAGCACCAGTTCAGGGTTTTGAATGGTTAATTGGAGATAAGAGTCTCATGGGGACTCCTGCTCAGCTGCCTTTGAACCACAATCCTCAGATCTTAGTCTCTTAAGTAGCTCAGATTACAGGCATGAGCTACCAGCACTGGGCTGAATTATCAAATCTTTAGCCAAACAAGCTAAAAGACCAAAAACTATGGGTTTCATTTCTTGGATGCTAAAATAGTTCAACATATGCAAAACAATAAGAATAATACAACACATAAACAGAATCAGGGCCAAAAAAAAAATGACACTCATCTCAATTGGTGGAGGAAACAAGTGACTGACATAATAAAGAGAAGTTGAAAGCCAGTCCCTCTTCATGTATCAGAGCTGAGGCCCTGAGTTCAAGCCCCAGGACTAGTCAAAAAATAAAATGACCTATGAATGAAAATCAAGTCTAGGGCCTTTACATTTAAACCACATAGATAACAACTCCCAAGGAAGGCAAAAAGTACAGTTTGATACCTACCTTTTTATATGAATAGAAAGAAAGTATCATCCAGAGGGCAGAACCATGGAGAATAAACAGAAATATTCCTCTAAAACGTTATCGATAGAGTTCTTGCAAGAAATGCCTATCGGGACTGGGAATGTGGCTTAGTGGTAGAGTGCTTTAGCATGCATTGAAGTCCTGGGTTTGATGCCTCAGTAGCACATAAACAGAAAAAGTCAGAAGTGGCTCTGTGGCTCAAGTGGTAGAGTGCTAGCCTTGAGCAAAAGAAGCCCAGGCCCTGAGTTCAAGCCCCAGACCTAACAAAAAAGAAAGAAAGAGAGAAAGAGAGAAGGAAGGAAGGAAGGAAGGAAGGAAGGAAGGAAGGAAGGAAGGAAGGAAGGAAGGAAGGAAGGAAGGAAGGAAGGAAGGAAAGAAGGAAGGAAGGAAGGAAGGAAGGAAGGAAGGAAGGAAGAAAGGAAGGAAGGAAAGAAGGAAAGAAACATTTATTGGTTATGGCATGGGAAAGGTGAGTGAATTCCATAATCTATGAACATTAATAACCAACAAAACCCATCTTGAAAGACATAGCTGTGTTTCCTCCCATTTAAACTGAATATGTTAAATGGGGAACTCTATAAGGTTCTCATTACCAGTAAGGCTGAAAATAAAAAGGGTTTACATAGATATTCAGAACCAAGAAGAGTCAATAATAAGTACTACAGGTTGCTAATTAGAATATCTGTTTTCTCTTTTTGTCTTGAACATATATCGCCCTCTTTCATTGCTATCTATTGATTTTCAACCAATATGAATAAGTTATTGTTTGCTATTTAGAACTGAATTTACAGCAAATTTCCATGTAAACTCCTTCATCTGGCTGCAGTAGCATGACCTCTGGGTTACCTTGTGATGAAGATGATGGACACTAATATGACCTGGA